AAAATCTTCATTTGGTTCTGAAAATATAAATACACTGCTATAAGATCTGATGTCTTCTCTTGTGAAGTGATAAGGCAAATTCTTTTAGAACATTATTTAAAATTTTAATAGAATTTCCTTGTAAAGATGCCTAATGACAAGCTTATCAGGCCACACACATTATGGCTTTTGTTCTATATATATATAAGCCCAGGAAAATACATTTTCATCTTTTGCCCTAAAAAATTCTGATTGTTGTAAACTTAGCAGGAGTTATTTGCTTATATCAGATGAAAAACATGACAACAAGAGAAATTTCTTTACTGTAAAGTTGGAAGTTTCTACAAGGAAAATGGAAACAGAAAATAAGACACTTCATAAACAATATTCTACTTTTAAAAAATCTTAAAAGGAAAGTAAGAGTATTATCCATATATTAAAGGATGAGCTTGAATTCAGTAGCGATACTACTGCTGAAACATGTCTGAATATGAAATGCACTATTTACGTTCAGGTGAGTGATACAGACTGTTTGAAGTCTCTTTTTAAATGTATTTGAATTTTTTTATCAGTTTGATGTTAAAATATTATGAATGACTAAATTTTTTTAATAGTTGTTCTTAATAAACATGTTATGACCTTAAATAGGGACAATCTAAACATATTCAGTCAGGTGAAAAATATATTTGCATGCTGAACTGAACAGTTTCTTTCATTATAAAATTAAAGAGATGTGGTATCATTGCCAATCCCCAATGAGACTATCCACCAGAGACCATGGATATGGATGTAAGCAACAATAAACAAAACCCATATCCTCAAGATATAGGTTTGTAAAGGTGGGACCACACAAATTGATACATACAGTGAATTCAAGCTTGATTTTTATCTCGCATGAAACAGCTACATAAACATAAGATAACCTAGCCTATACCCATTTCAACTGTGTGTCAAAAGCATTTTTTTCTGTGTTATTAACCAAGACCTGATTTATTCTAATACTATCTTTTAAAGTGTTGATTAATGATGTATGCTGTAAAAGGAATTTGGGTTCTATGAGTACTGGGGGAAGGGGGGTGGGGAAACACACTCAGACCTGCCAACTTTCACTACCAGTATTTATGGGGGATTTCCCCCATGAGAGGTGTTGACATGAATTTTGAAATTCCTTGTTATATAAACTGAACAACTCAAAACAGGCATTCAAAAAGGTATTTAAACACAAACATACTCATTCAAACAATATAGTAGTATAGATTAAAAACATTTGTGACAATATAAGAGGAGCATTAGGTCCTCTTGCACGTAAAATCCCCCATGGAGATTTCGAAAAGTTGGCAGGTATGCCCACCCATTTTATTAAGGTGTAGGAAGGGATTGGCCCTTCTTCATTGTTATATTGGCAAGGAAAATATATATTCAATTGATATATACAAGTCTAAATTGAAAACAAGGTTCAAACCTATATTTGCATTGGATAAAAACCGCAATTTTTATATGTGTGCATGCAAAACAAATTTCTTGGTAGAGGGGTCTAAATATAGCACAAACAACATATTCCAAAAGACCAAAACAGTGAAAAAGTATATTTTAACAAAATGCATTTGACTAGCAGGTCGAACAAGGGATGTTCTTAAACCCTGCTGACTGCCATTGGTGATTGCCAAATAAACAGATCACCAGATGTAACAAAATGGATCTTAACTATTAATAAAATACCAAACAGAAAACAATAAACTTGCGGAAAAGATGGTATACCGCAAACCAAAGGTGCAAAAATTAGTACACCATATCCAGATTTCAGTGATGTTAGGAATTGAAACGGTATTTGGAAGGCCATATAATTTTACCTCAATTTAGGATAGACTCTTGAATTTTGAAGAGTCGAAATAGGATGAACGGATCATATAAAGTGGGTCTCATTGGGGTCTAAGCGTGACGCGGGATTGGCCGATTTTTGTAAGCGTGACACGTGAAAGTCAAATTATTGTCCGTGAAAACGGGAAATAAAGTCGGGCGGGACACGTGAAATTACCAAAAAATGAGCCGGGAATCCGGGAAAATCATCATTTTATTAAGCGTGAATCAAATTTGTTGTCAAAAAATGAAAAAAGGGATGTGGATTGACTGCCAATGAGACAGATGTCCACCAAAGTTCAAATGAAGTGGATGTAAAGCCCCCATCACACTAGACCAAGACCATGAATAAGGAGTTGACCTCATACTTGAGTGATCAGTGGCGGATCCAGAACTTTTTATAAGGGGGGCCCGCTCCAGTCACGCTTCAGTGATTCCCTATATAATCAACCAAATTTTTCCCACGAAAGGGGGGGGGGGGGCCGGGCCCCCCAGGCCCCCCCCCCCCTGGATCCGCCTATGGTGACGTTCGTTTGGTTGTGCGTAATGTATAATTACGCAGTCACGTCTGGTCAGAATGGGGACGTTAAATTCCGATGCCGCTAGTGTAGAGAGAATGCCACGCTCTCTACACGTTAAGCAACTTGCAACAACACTTTGGGTGGTTCATAGGTGGTCTACTGAAAGGCAAAATCTATGTTCCTATCCAAGAAAACCACATTTTCTATGCATTGCATTTCTAAAATTCCAGACCTTCATCCTTGAAGATCAGGACCTAGCTACCTGTTGTATTTATTGTAAATTTTGTTTTTGTCCTGTACAATCATGAACTATTTGCCATTTTTAGCAATCAATCAATCAATCAATCAATCAACTAGCTTTCAGCAACTTCGAGTACTCTTAAATCTACCCTAGACCTGCTGGGTGCATTCAACGGCCCCAGATCCCCTGCCGCAATTTTTACCCACAGTTTATTGGACATGTAGTCACGCTTCTTACAGTCTTGGCGCCCAGAGTACCCCCCACCTTTGGCGAGTCACTGACAAACTTTTTGTATCATTCCTAAATTTGTGACACCAGTAAGCCATTTATCGGTTCCCTGATATCTTGCCAATGGTAATACAAGTGTGATATACCGATAGGAGGGCTCTTGCAAGGCGATTTCTTATAGAAAAAAAAATATAAGCGGGAAACGGGAAACTTAAAAAATGATAAGCGGGATACGGGAATCTGACAAAACAATAAGCGGGATCCGGGATTGGACCCCCCTAATGAGACCCCCTATAAACCCGAAGGCAAATATAATACAAGCCCAAACAATTATAAATATATATATATACATATTCAGATTGGTTTTAAGTTTTATTCTAATCTAAATGATATACATTTTACAATAAAGTGTAAAGCTAACAAGGGATAATATCATGGAAACAGTTCTCATATAAAGAAAACCTAGATAGTAATGTTAGCATCTGAGAACAACATCAATTTCATAGAAAACATATGCAACCTGGTGTTTCTCAGACTATAGAGTTACATATAGTTCATTGACTTAACTCATATTACATGCATGACCTTATATGGCAATTTTATCTATGATCACTTCACTGATTTTTCTTACTCTGTGTTTTTGTTACAACAATTATTAAAGTTAATATGGAAAACAATGGAAAATTGTAAGAAAGTTCAATCTACAATCCTCATCTAATAATTAAAATAAAATCTCTCTTTTTACCCTTTGATTTGTGAAAATAGTTAGTATTGACACTTCAAATAAATACTGTATATTTTTTCGGTAGCCACTTCTTTTGATATTGTTTATATAAAAAAAGAGTTTTCAGTGTAGCTATTGGTATAATTGAAAAGTATGTATAATAGGTCTTTGATATATGTGATGCTATTGTATTTCATTCTATGCATTTCAGTTTCAAGCCAAATATGTAATGTCCCAACCGTCAGACATGCATACAAAATGTCACAGGAATGGCCTAAAATATCTCACTAAATTTTGAACGATGTACAAATTTTCCATAGGCTTATATTGACTTTGGCAAAACCATGAAATCAATATTCATGAAAATACATTTTTTTCTCCATCCACGAAAATTGGTATCTATGAAATTAAATTAATCCACAGTACAAACAAAGACTGTCCCAAGTCAGGAGCCTCTGGCCTTTGTTAGTCTTGTATGTTTTTTAATTTTAGTTCATTTATATGTTTTGGAGTTTAGTATGACGTCCATTTTCACTGAACTAGTACACAATTTTATTTAGGGGCTAGCTGAGGACCACCTCAGGGTGCGGGATTTTCTTGCTGCGTTGAAGACCCATTGGTGGCCTTCGGCTGTTGTCTGCTCTTTGGTCAGGTTGTTGTCTCTTTGACATATTCCCCATTTCCATTCTCAATTTTACAAACAATAACAAATAACACATGTCCCAGATTAGCCTGACTTGGCACTGAGGCACAAATATTTGCGGTTGAGTTAAACCAATTTTACATCTCTTTTGTGCCTCAATCAAGCTTCTTTGAAATTCAAAGTTTAAGTTACATTATTATAATTAAATATTTCCTTTAGATAGACAAGTGATTTTAAAAAAAAAAAAAAAAAAACTATTTTTAAGAAAATTGCAGCTCTTTTACTTTGTGTGCTGAATTTGTCTTTCAAATATTTGGCATTGAGCATTCCTGATGAAGGTAAATCCAGAAAAGCGCTTCTGATGCATGAAAAATATAACATGTTTTCTTTTTTTGTAGTGATTATTTTGTTTATAGTTTATACTATAAACTTTAACCAAAATAAAAAACTTTATAGTTTTAGGATTAAGTAAGATTTTGCCCATCTATATGGAATAAGATGAGTTAATAAAATTCTTTTTTTTTCTTCAAAAGAGGTGAAGCCCATTAACTTTGTTCTTTTTAAATCAGACATATACTAAACTGAGGCCACATCAGTGTGATTCTTAAGTTTAAAAGCACCAAAATTTTAAATGCCTCCAACATATGCATCACTTTGAAGTGATAATATCTGAAGTCTAAATGCACCAAATTTTATGTGTTTCATTTATTATTATGAGTGACCAACCTGGTTTACATCTTGTTTGTCATCATTGATTTTTAAGGTCACATACATTAGTCGAAAAATGAATTTCTATTTCTATTTCAGGTTATGTTATTTACCCTGGGAAAGTATTGAATGCAGACTGTTTTAGAATAGGAAGTATAGGACATTTATACCCAGAGGACATGAAAGGGTTGTTATCAGCAATTAAACAAGTACTTCAAGAAATGGATATAAAATTAAGATAATAAAGAAAAAAAGAAATTATTTCGGTTGTTTAAACTTATTTGATTTAGAAAATTGCCATTCAGAATTTGAAAATAAAGGATCATTCATACAAAATAAAGCAAAGTATTATTTTGTAGTCCTTACCACCTGTATTGTTGAAAAACTTAAGTTTGTTTAAAGGTATGGTTACTTATTGGTTAGAAGAGTTTCTACCATGTTGCAAGAAGCAGATGGCAAGCTATAACATCACTGTCACGATCTATTACCTTCAAATTCTAGTTTAAGAGGTACAACATGGTTTGAATACCCACCTGAAATCTAATACATACTGTTTTACCTAAGATTTAATTGGGAATAATTTTGACACTGATATAACATGTTGACTTAAATTTTGAAAGAATGTTTTTCCCTCCATTGTCTTCCCACTTTCGTCACCGGAGGGGGGATTAAGTGTTACCCTTGTGCGTCCTTATGTCCAAAAAATGGTTTCTGTTCTCTAACAGTTTGCCTCAACCAAATGTTATGAAACTTATACACAATGATTATTACCACAAAACACAGATCAACTTCCAATTTGGGTTGCGTCACTTTTACCATTCTTGTGTTATGTCTCTTTTTAACGTTACATGTATATCCAAGCAGGGGCATCATCTGTGTCCCATGGACACATTCTCCATTATTTTTTAAATGGGTTCCAAAAAGGGCTTTTTCTATCGCTTTGGATCAAGTGGTTGGTTGCAAATTACTTGTGATAATGATACAGCCTTCCTAAGATGTTTATTGGGAACATTTGCTCAATTATTTTCTGCCCTGGGTTCTTAAAGGTTTGACTAGTTTTGGGCTTTAAAGCTAGGTAGCAAGTGACATACAGTTTCATTGGAAGTTTTTGTTAGTTTCATTTGGTGAATACATCATACCTAAAGATGAACCTGAAAAGGCTGGATACGGGAAACCTTTTGGCTTGCTCCTATTTTTCTGATTAGAATTTTTTTTTTAAATTCTGCATTTGAAATTTAACTTTCCTTGTTTTTTTTCAAATAGAAATGTTGGTATTTTTTATAGATACAAAGTGAGCAATGAAGGCTTCTTGAAGCCTCTAGTTTCAGTTTTATTAAAGTAAAATGATGAAGATTGATATCTATTAAGGTTCACAGTAAGTGTTAATTTGTTCCAGTAAATGGTCAAAGGATGTCCTAATTATCATGAGCATCAAGCCACAGGGATATGGTGATGGTCTTTGTCCATTTGTTCTGCCGAAACACATCAATACTCAGAGACCGTTTGACATTTAGTTTTTTTTTCTTGATAGGATTATGGTCGTCATATTCTCTCTCACCCTGCTATATCGTCAGTTTGATTTCAACCATTTTTACATGAGTTATGGGACTTTTTATCTTTTTTTTTAGTGTTGTGACAATAACACCTTGTGGATGCAATTCTATTACTTGGTAGGATTGTTTGCCATCATGTGTAGTTGACCATATTATACCGTCATTTTGATTTGACAATTTTTATGGGAGTTATGTGATGTTTACCATATTTTGACCACATACCACAACGACACATGGTTTACATTCATTTATTTGTTATCTCATTGATGTGTACCCCACATATTAATCACTGGTCGGCCATATATCCAACATTGAATACAGTAACTATGGAAACCTATAAAGTTTTATTATAAACAATATATGGTTATTGTACAAGTACAACCAGCATACTTAGTACTGGTAATATTTTAAATAACATAAAATTTGTAGTTAAAAAAGATAAAAATATCTACAGCAATTAGTGAAATAAATTTGTTTATAAAACCCAAGGTTGTACAGGTAAAAAAGTTGTACATAATTAAATGCAAATTGCACTCAAAAAAAATTGGTTTAATGCCAAGTTTTGTTGCATATTATGTATATGTAACACATTCTTTGTATGTACCCTTTAATTAATGTACCCTGAATGGAAAAAGTCAGCTTTTGATGAATGTAAATGGTATAAAAAAAAAATAACACTTAAGAAATTTGATGTGTTTGAATGACTTTTCTAGATTTATCTCCATCAGGAATGCAAGAAAATAAGTCTACACTCGCTGTGCAAGTTTTTAAAGTATGAAGATGATGATCGGGTCATTAGAGAGATGATGTGATGCAGTTTGAGTTGATACAGCAACATGAATAAAAAAAACAATTGTTTCTATACGGTAAACTTTCAATTCTCATAATGTCTATAAAATCACTGATAGCATCTGTATAATCATCTTATCATAAAAAAATTTCATGTAGGAAATTATGCAAGGCTTGTGAGGAACACCAGTTTATTGCCCTATAAATCATTGAGAATTTTAAGGATATACATTATTTAATCCATATATATAAGAGGAGGACCTTTTTTATAACTGTACTTTTTAAATCTTAGCGTTATATACACTGGCAATTTTTTTTTTTTATATTTTACAGAGATTTCCATTATACTCTATAGATTTATTTTTACAGAAGGGAAATAAGATAAAATAAGCGGTGAGGTCATATATATGTTAGAGTTGATCTAATCTTTAAATAGCAAAGCATCTTTTCTTAAGCTTGAAGTACTATTGTTTGGTGCCCAAAGAAGGATCAGGCCCTGCCAGCAGGTGACCGATAGTTTATCTTCATTATTCAACAGGATTATCAACCACAGGAACAATTGATGCTTTTTTTTTTTTTTGCTTCATAGAATTGGCATCTATGTACCTCAAATAGAAACAGAAACGGGTTTATATGAAACAAATGTTTATATAGCCACTAAAGTGATTTTTGTATAAGGCTTTTTTTTTAAATGTCTTTTGTTGTTTTTTTTTTTGTTTTTTTTTTAAATAAGCACAAACAATCAAAGCCTTCTATTCACTATTTCAGGAAAAAAGATTTCATTTATTTTTTTCAAAGAGATAAAACAATGAGTGAAATATCATTGAGACAACAATCCATCAATAATCTATTAAAAGGTATACAAATTACATGCTTAAGTCACAGTTGTTATACCAAGTGTTTAAAGTCCCTTTAAAAATTTTTTAAAGTATCTATAGACTTATCATGACTGATTCAATTTGCAACTGTCAATCATAAAATTAACCAGTGTTCTGGGTCTCTATAAAAGATTTTTAAACTGTCTGTAGACTTATAACTGATTCAATTTGCAACTGTCAATCATCAAATTACATGGTTTTATTTTTGATGTATGTCTATCACTGTCCATCATCATAATATGTCATTGCTTAAGTGACTTTTGATGAGTTTGATTTACAACAAAGCACTGGTATGAGAACTTGTGTGTCTGCAAGCTATGTAATTATCAATTCCATTAGGGAAAAGTATATATTGTTTCCATCTTGATGTAACAGGCTGATAAGTTAAAACAAATTTAAAGTCTGACCTTAAACTTTCAATAGTAGGTAAACAATTATAGATTCAAATAAGATTCAAAATGTTAACCATCCACATTTAATCATGGATGCCAATTTAAGACTTGTGGAATATCATTGGTTTAAGGTATTCTGTATTCCCACACTTTCAATTTATTAGATATACGATGATTATGTAGGATATGAACATTTTTGGACTCGAGAGAAATCATCATATCCTAAAAAAAAAACAATGTCAAATACTTAGTTTTGGCTACTATAGTTTCTTATACTTATTCAATGTATTATGGATTGGTCACACTCACCTTTTTGTGCCAGTTGCAAATTAAATTCTTACAAACGATTACAAGTCTAACATATCTATATAAATTTTCGTAGAAGTTGCCAGTTCTGTTGTAAAGTTTTTAGTTTTGTAGGTTGACCCGATGTAATTTCAAACTTGGCTTAATGTCAAACCTGTAACTGGGCAAAATTGTCTAAAATTCATGCTTTGATGCATATTTCTTAAAACAGCCATTATGTTATGTTACAGTCTTGTGTTGTCTGAACGTGATGGTATTCCATTTTGTTGTGTGGCTTCAAATGATGCTTCCTCATCTTCATATTGATTATTACAGCATTTGCAACAGGTAAATTGTCCACAAATGCTTCTGTCTATTGGTTCCAAGGAACGACACCACACAGGAAGAAATTTCCAGTTCTGCAATGTCTTTGGCAAGCATGTTGGTTTTTTATGTTGAATTACTTTTACTATACCAACAAATATTATGACAAGAGCTATTGGTAACAGTACTGCCAATACTACATACCAACCAGCTATAGATAGAGCAAACACACTAAAAGGGAACAGGCCAAACATGATGATTAAGTAGACGAGAGCAAACCATCGATACTTGGATGTCACCATACCCAAATGTTTGGCCATTGGAATTGGAAATCGCATGAATGTCAGTGGGTAAAAAATGAGAATTCCTGATAAATTGAAGAAAAGATGGCACATTGATACTTGTAATGGTAGTCTAATATCATCTGTGGCCAATGCTGCAAGTATGGATGTTGTTGTTGTTCCAATGTTTGCCCCTAATGTCAGTGGGTACATTCTTTCCAAACTTACTACTCCCACTCCAACAAGTGGGGTCAAAGTTGATGTGAAGATAGAACTTGATTGGACCAAGAATGTCAGTCCTGTACCAACCAGGATAGCTATGTACCCTGTAAAGTATGACCATCTTCCTGGAAATTCATAGTTGATAAATTTTCTGATACCTTTTCGGATATTTCCTTTCAGTACTGAATTCATAGTTTTGACAATTCCTAGTAAGCAAACACACAGCATAACTAAGGCAGCAACAAGAATAATAACTCCGATTTCATGATCATTCAGTCCAGATTCTTTGAAAGCAAATTCACCTATAAGAAATAGAATAAAAATTTTATAAATATCTTACAATTTACTTGTTTAAAATGTAAAATATATAAAGTCATATATAATTTCTATTAGTTTTCTTCTTTGTTTTTTAATTCAAGTCTATGTTCAACTGTAATTATATATGATCAATTTAAATGATAAAAGTTGTGCTGGAAGGAAATTTCTATTCAAAATATATGTCCTTTTATCATATTACAAAATTTGCTTTAATTGATGGTGTTGTAGTGTATCAATCAAATTACAAATCCTGCAAGGAACTTCAGCTTGACATGAAATTTTATTTCAATGGTCTTTAATTCAAAATGGACCAAAAAAACTTTTCACCTAAATAACAAATGGACCAAAAAACTATTCACCTAAATAACACATGGACCAAAAAACTATTCACCTAAATAACAAATTTATCAAGTGTTAATACATCTGTAAATTAAGATAATAGGTGTATTAGCAGCAAATGACTGTGGACCTTTTAAAAGACATATTTACATCAAATGCATCTTAAAATATCCCTCCTTGGGAACATTTTTCAATTCTATTGTTCTTATAAATACTTACATTTTTCTACACACACTTTGACTTCTTCCAAGCCCCATTCTGTTTTATTCACCTCAACCACTGTAGACATAACTGTTTCATTGACCGTTACGAGAGATGATACATTCTGCAATACTGTGTCTTTTACACAACAGTCTTTCAATAAAGTTTTCACATCTTCACCTTTTGCAAAATTTGTGATCTTCTTTGAGTCAAGCTGCAATTGAAAAGGTAATTTAATCATTTTTGAATTTTGAAATACACATCATTTAAAAATACAATTGTCTGACTAATTATCAATTCAACTAGATTGTTCTCTAGTCAATGGATTGGTAATATACCAACAATTCTAATATGACTTTCTTCTTTTGCTTTGGAAACAAAGCCCTGCTCTAATTACAATAAAATATGGGCTGCATGTGATTGACGTCACAATTGAAATTGCAACGTCAGTTGTATTTTTGAACAACGCCAGTGTTGCTCACTAGGAAATTAATTAAAATCATTCTAAAAGTAAGTTTACATATATATGTTAATTTTTTTATCGTGGAACTGTTGATTTTCTATAACGTTTTTGGTTCATCAAATCAAAATGGCTGCCTTTCGAACGTGTATTATAGGTCTGCTTCGAAGTACAAAAGTTTTAATTTTTCCTATTAGAATCGAAATAATTCTATCATACTATGCTTTATGCTAATTTTAACATGGATAGGCATTATATTTGTCAATATTTTACACCTCGCTAACGCTCGGTATAAAGATATTGACAAATATAATGCCTACCCATGTTAAAATGAGCATAAAGTATGGCATGAAAGAATTATTTCTTAATGATTAGTAAATATTTTGGTGATATTTACTTTGCACAGGTTGATAAATTGTTTAGTTTAAAGGATTTATCTTTATTTTATTGAACATTCCTTATTATACTTCAAATAACAGATTGTGATTGGTTAATATGAGGGAGATAATTTACTCTATCCCATGGCAAATACTCTATTACCCTACACAGAGATGCTTGATCAAGTGTGTGCTTTATTAAATAGGGATGGTTTTTATGTACAAGGCATCACAGTATATTACTTTGAATTTGAAATTTGATAGGCAGTAATAACGGAACATTTAAATTGAATGACACATATCTGAAAGGGTGATAGAGCAGATTGTTACCTCACAAAATGACATTGTCAACCTTGGCTTTGCCTCGGTTGACAATTTTTTTCGGGGTAACTATTTGCTCCATCATCCTCTCAGCTATGTGTTATTTATATAATGTTCCTTTTCTCATTCCACTGACTGAGATTAAAAGAGAGACTTCTGAGAAATACAAAAATAATTTATCAGCCTGTTCTAAGTCAGGAATATTATCACATGCTATCTTCACTTTTATCTAAATGAATTGTCATTTGGTGTAAAAATGGTGGTAATTCTTTTTTTACCTCACCAATTAAGAGCTTGACATATTGTAAAGACACTTATCTATTGTTGAAGACAGTATGTTTACCTTTAGATGTCTTGTTTTTTGTGTTGTTGGATTGCCTCATTGATATATATGCTTCATTATAATAGTAGGTTAGTAAATGGTTTAGGGACATAAAATGAAAGCTTAGTAAACATATCTGATGACATACTTACTATTATGACCAGGTTAGTAAATGGTTTGGTGACATAAAATGAAAGCTTAGTAAACATATCTGATGACATACTTACTATTATGATCAGGTTAGTAAACGGTTTGGTGACATAAAATGAAAGCTTAGTAAACATATCTGATGACATACTTACTATTATGATCAGGTTAGTAAACAGTTTGGTCACATAAAATGAAAGCTTAGTAAACATATCTGATGACATACTTACTATTATGATCAGGTTAGTAAACGGTTTGGGGAAATAAAATGAAAGCTTAGTAAACACATCTGATGACATGCTTACTATTATGATCAGGTTTGAAAACGGTTTGGGGAAATAAAATGAAAGCTTAGTTAACATTTCTGGTGACATACTTACTATTATGATCAAGTTAGTAAATGGTTTGGGGACATAACATGAAAGCTTAGTAAACATTTCTGATGACATACTTACTATTATGATCAGGTTGGTAAATGGTTTGGTGATTTTTTTAAGAAATTCTTGTTTTTCATAATCTTGGTTGAGGTTGATATTATTTACTATTTTCTCACTGAGCCAATATAGATAACCTGAAAAGAACATTCTGTGGTGATTTCATTGCTGTAAATTTCAAAACTACCGTTGACAAAATGGAAATAAAGTTTGATATTGACGATTTTCAGGAGTTATGGTCTGTGATTGATTGCAAAATGGTATTTTAAGTTGTTTCTGTGTAATTAGTTGAGAACTGCCAATGCTTTCAAATTTTTTATGACCAAATTTAGGTCAAGTTCAATATTGACAATTTTCACTTTTGCCATTTAGGAGGATCGGCCCTTCATTGCTTTAACAACACTGATAAATGTAATAAAAACTTGGTTTGCTGTGATTTTGACAGCCTCTTGTTTTTCTATTAAATAATATTTTATTACCTAAGACATACCAATGCCCTTAGGAATTAAGTTTAAATCAATGTTTTAAATGATATTCATATCTTTCTGTCTTTTATAACATCTAAGTTGAAAAGGTAAAACTTTTACATAGAATTTACCTGTTACCACTTCTATAGGTAAAAGAATAATAACTGTCAACCAGTTGAACATATCATGGACTGTTGCTCCAGCAAAGGCTCTTCGAAAGTCATCTTTATTGGCTATCTGTCCCATGGAAACAATAGTATTGGTAACAGAAGTTCCAATATTGGCACCCATCACTATTGGGATAGCTGTTTTGACATCCAAAACTAGAAAATAATGTAAATTGGGTAATAATAGTTTTAACAGTACTGGTATATTAGATTTAAGACCCCTTTTGACTCTCAGAAAGATACATTTATGCTTCCTGTTAAAATCTTCCTCAAATTTTAGGTAAGTATCATACCCAAATTTTAATACTAAATTTATTTTAATTTACAACGATTTGCAGTAACCATGAATTTTATCCTTGGATCACAAGATGGTTTACATTTCAACTCAAGAGCACAGATAATATAACCCTATTTTAGTGACATGTCTTATGTTTTTCAATTCTTTAATATGAATACATGTTTAATTGACAGTTATGACTGTTAAGAATAAATTAACATAGTATTTGTGTACATACGTTGTCCTCCAACCATGCCAACAACAATTGAGGTTGAGGTAGAAGAACTCTGTACTAAAACTGTAGCCAGAACACCAATCATTACTCCTGCCACTGGATTGGATAGAATTTCGTTCCTTTTGAAGATTTCTCCTGCAGATTTACCTAAAAGAAAGAGGTATTTTGCATGTTGAGTTACTGTTGGTTGCTGAATGTCCAGTGACAAATATTTCATAATTAATCAAGGACGAGCTTTGACAACACTGAAAATGGAACTGTACAGTGTAAACTGTAAAACCCTTATGATTGTCTTAATAAAAAAATAATAATTTGTATACAAAAATGAAGAAAAGAAAATAAAATTGAAAATGTTAAACATGTTATTATTGATTCAATGATTGTTGTTTTCTTCTAAAACTACAAGTTTGCAGTAAATATATTTAGATATCATTTTATTTTTTGTGGTTTTTGTGTAACTGTTGCTATCTCATTGGTGTATCTATCCCCTTTCCTCTTTATTTCAAACGTAACTAATGCATCTGTCTGCTTGCAGTTCTGTTCTATCTTTTTTTTTAACTTATAGCTTCTTTAGTAACTTACCTCCAACCAACTTGAATCCATCACTAAGGAAAGTAAGGGAACAAATAAAGAAATACAGGAAGGCTACAAACATTATAATCCTCATAATAAGCCACGTCACTCGCAGTATTTTGCCACATGTATCCAATTCTGAAATGAATCAAGATTTTTACTGTGTTACTTGAGACATACTTATACAATTGTGAGTAAATCTTACTACTTTCCGCAGGCACTTGTCTGAAAAAAAATTACCTATATAATATTAATAAACTTAGAAAAAAATATAGAATATAGATTATGACATTGATCAAAATTCGTCCGGAATATGCATGAAATATTTGCCACTGGACGTTAACTTGGAAACAACAATCAATTAGTTATAACATAAAGTCTGATTATTAGTTGCGTCATGCCTAGTGATAATTATTACAAACATTCTGGGCAACATGCTTAACGCGAAAATCCTTTTATTTGTGGGTTTCAATCATAATAAGACGTTTAATACACTAGGTAACACCCCCTTCTTGGTACTGCCATATTTTCTAACAAACTAAAAGGCAAGATATTAGGCCTTCTTTTTTTCAAATGCACTTTTAATTAAAGATTTATATATAATATATCTCTGTAATAAAGTCGAGGTAATACGCGGGAATTTAAACAGCCAGGTCATAACGCCGGTTAAATCAAATTTTAAAAAGAGGATCTAGGTTGTTCCACCTGAAAATAAGTACAGTCTTCTAAGTTATTAAAAATATCCAAAGAAATAGGGCTCAAATCCTTAAACCCCCTTATCCCTGATTCCGCCAATGACGGAAGGTAGACTTTTTGACGTTTCTGACATAGGGGCCCGGTGATATGCATAATATTGAAAAGATTTGCACATGCTATCATTTTTTTTTTCATCCAAACTTCACATGATTTTGTGATTTGCATCAATTTTTAGTCCAAATAAGGCGCTAAATGTTTCTAGTAATATCATTAATATAAAATTTAAAGTTTATGCAATCCCCCTAAAATTTCTACATAGTTAGAATGATATTTTTAGAAATACGAACCATCCCATGGTGTTTCTGTATTTTCCAAATCCGGTAAGGCCCAAGGATCGTCTTCCAATTCCTTTTCCTTTTGTAGTTTTCTGTTTTCTTCTGCTTTTCTTTCCTGTGAAGTAATCAATAAATTTTTCGGTCCACATAAAATTAGACATGCATAAAAGCCTCAGCTCCTACATACGGGGACTTATTTTAATTTGTATTTTGAAAATTCTTGCCCCGTTTAATGTTGTTGTTATCACGATGCAAACCTTATCATCTATAGGAAACAATTGCCATGATATCGTCATACTAGATTTGGCATTTAACCCAAAGCCAGCCAGAAGGAAAATATATTTATGGAAGAAAGGAGAAATACAAAAATAATTGAAGACCTGGGCCATTTCAACGCAACTTTCAAAAACACCATAGACAGGAATGGTGAATCTATGTGGCAAGCATTCAAAAAGCTATTTCAGAACACTGTAGACAAGAAAGTCCAAACATTAATGAGTCAAGGAAGACACACACACACACATCCATGGATAAACACTACCATTGGAAGGAAAACAAATCAGAAACTATCCTAAAAGCCCACAAGAAGCCATGAAAATAACATAGAAAAGAGACATGGGTATGTATAAGAGACTCAAGCAAGAAGCACAATAGGAAATCAGACAAGCTATATAAATACATAGAAGAAGTCAGCACCAATTATAAAGACAGCTCGAAAAATACTTTGGTCATACATCAAGAGCAAAGGTCAAGAAGGGTCAGGAGTAGCACTGTTAAAGAATAGATTGGGAATTCCACAAAGCGATAATAAAACCAAAGCTAAAATGAACAATTCCAGTCAGATTTCACAAAGGAAAATCTAAATAACTCCCCCAATAAGTCACAAGTTTCTACACGTAACCAATAGAAACAACTTATCCCGAAATAGACACATTGACAACATTGTCGGCAAAAGAAATAAGACATTTGCATTTATCCGACTATACCTGTCAGAGATTCACTAAAACTGCAAAGGCAGCAGCATATACAGCATGTTAAACCAACAGTGGAATATGCTTGCACAGTTTGGGATTCGCCGAACATCTGATTGTGTATCAGACTTGGTAAAACAATTACCATGGAAAGCCTTGAATATCGAAGGAAAACCAAAAGATTATCATATGCTATTTAAGATACAATATGAGTTAATAGATATAGACGGACAACAAAATTTAATCCCAAACGACAGCTGGCCCAGAGTCAGTAATCCGCTTCTATCAAGAAATAAATTGACTTTTAATAACGCAGATGTACTTTAATATGCAACATTTATATGCAAGGGTGTAAAATGTAAAATCGTAGTATTAATAATGTATTAAGAACTCAATTCCATTTTTTTTAAACAATCTCGTTCTATTGAAAAGACTGTTGAAATTTTATGTAATCTCATTTGTCAAATCGCACTATGTAAAATTAATTTGCCAATCAACACAACAACATTTCAATATGAAACATAGTCCATGGTTTTTTTTTATAATTCATTTCAGATGTAAATTTATTTCTTTATCACCTCTGACAACCGGTGCGATAAAAGGAGATGTTTTGAAAGAAGAATACGTGTAAAACCGCAGGGATCTTTGTTATGTGGTTATAAAATAGACAAGGTCTGACAGTTGACGATTCAAGTCAGAAATGTTTTACTTCAAAAATAAAAGTATAATGGGAGTAATTGTGTCATACAAGGACATATATTTTATTGACTTGTGTCAAGTTGTCCTATTCAGGATTGAACATCAGCCGAAACAGCAGAAAACGATACATTATGCCTCTATTTCGGAATTTAAAAATATTTGGACATTCTATGATTTGTAAAGTAATATTAAACAAGAGGCTCTCAAGAGCCTGAATCGCTCACCTGTATTTCAGAGGAGAAGACTTTTAAATGTTAGCAAACTTGATGAACAAATTGTGTAAAATTGTCTTTAAAGGGCAATAACTCCTTAAGGGGTCAATTGACAATTATGGTCATATTAACTTTTTTGTAGATCTTACTTTGCTGAACATTATTGCTGCTTACAGTTTATATATATCTATAATAATATTCAAAATAATAACAAAAAACTGCAAAATTTTGTTAAAACTACCAATTCGGTGGCAGCAACCCAACAATTGGTAGTTCGATTCGTCTGAAAATTTCAGGGCCAATAGATCTTGACCAATTAAACCATTTCCCCCCGTCACATTTGTTCTAAAAGATTTAGTTTTTGAGATATAAGCCAAAAACTGCATTTGACCCTTATGATCTATTTTTAGCCATGGCGGCCATGTTTGTCGATGGATACAAACTTCGGATACACTTTATAAACAAGATACCCTAAGGAACATTTAGTTAAAGTTTGAAGGTAATTGGCCCAGTAGTTTCAGAGGAGAAGATTTTTAAATGTTAGCAAACTTGATGAACAAATTGTGTAAAATTGTCTTTAAAGGGCAATAACTCCTTAAGGGGTCAATTGACACTTATGGTCATATTAACTTTTTTGTAGATCTTACTTTGCTGAACATTATTGCTGCTTACAGTTTATATATATCTATAATAATATTAAAAATAATAACAAAAATCTGCAAAATTTTGTTAAAACTACCAATTCGGTGGCAGCAACCCAACAATGGGTTGTTTAATTCGTCTGAAAATTTCAGAGCTGATAGATCTTGACCAATTGAACAATTTAATCCCATGTCAGATTTGCTCTAAAAGCTTTAGTTTTTGAGATATAAGCCAAAAACTGCATTTGACCCCTATGTTCTATTTTAGCCATGGCGGCCATGTTTGTCGATGGATCAAAACTTCGGATACAATTTATAAACTAGATACCCTAAGGAACATTTAGTTAAAAGTTTGAAGGTATTTGGCCCAGTAGTTTCAGAGGAGAAGATTTTTGAAATAGTTTACGACGACAGACGACAACAGACGACAACGACAACATGAGCTAAAAATACATATTTAAATACCCTAAATGCAAATGTCCCTAAACAAATATGTTTGTTTTAAGCTATAATAGATGAGATGGATAAATTGATTTTATGTCTTTCATGTCCGTCAATTATGCTGTAAGCGGCTCCATTTATTAAAAAGTCCTGGTCACTGAGGAGAGTGGATTCAAAAACTGCATGATATGTGGTTCATACGTGTTTCTCGTTTCTCGTTTTTTATATAGATTAGACCGTTGGTTTTCCCGTTTGAATGGTTTTACACTAGTAATTTTTGGGGCCCTTTATAGCTTGCTGTTCGGTGTGAGCCAAGGCTCCGTGTTGAAGACCGTACTTTGACCTATAATGGTTTACTCTTATAAATTTTGACTTGGATGGAGAGTTGTCTCATTGGCACTCACACCACATCTTCTTATATCTATATGATATGTACATATATGAATTCATGTCAAGGCTTTTTTTATTATTTTTGTGATGTATTATGTAATGTGTTATTTTGTTTTCATGTATACCATCAATCCCAATGCATTATTCTCAATAAATATTATTTTATAATAGAATACAATGAATGACTGTAGAAAAATAATGGATTCTTTATTTTTGTGCGTATATTTATCTATATATATAATCACTGATAAATGTATATAATGTGACATTTTCTATTTGCTCAGTAGAATTTGTGTTGTTTTTGCATCAAAGTTAATTTACAGACCACAAACATTTACGCCCATGTTTTAATTGAATTATAATTGAATTTTACTGTCAAATCAAACCATAACTGATTATTAGTTTTTAGATTAAACAATTAATTAGGCAATCATTTGTCAGACATTGTCTTTTTTTATTGCTTTGAATATAATAATTTAGAAATTAAAGCACTGGTTGTGAATTTTAATGAACTACCGGTAATTTTTCGATTGTCAAACCCGGGAAATCGAGATATGACTTCATTGATTACATCTGATCGAGTAATTGCGATATGACTTCATTAATTTCAGTGCAAATTCACAAATTTTGCAATCCAGCTATGCATGTTCAAACTCACCTCAATATGAACACTGTCTAAAATCACATCATAAATTCATTGGGTTTGACAATCAAAAAATTACCGGTAGGTCATTTATTTCATAAATTATTGCTCTATGCGTATTCAATAATTTTGAAAAATTAAGAGAACAAGGAAGTTATATACCTGTAAACAAAGCAGATTTCAGTAATCTTGGTAAATTTGTTAAAAATAAATTACAAAAACATGATAAATTTTCTATACCACCAGTGATCATGAATGAGCTATTTAATGAGTTAACAAAACTTGATATAAACAAAGCATCTGGTATGGATAATATAGGACCAAAAATCCTAAGATTAAGCGCCCCTGTTATTGCATCACCTCTCACATACATATTTAACCGAATGATAGACACTGGTATATATCCTTCTTTACTGAAGAATGCTAAGGTAACACCAATTTTCATGGATGGTGACAAGCTTTTAGCAACAAATTACAGACCTATATCTGTTCTTCCAACTTTATCAAAATTAATAGAAAGGCATGTATCTAATAACATGTACAAATACTTATCTAAGCTTAAACTTTTACACCCTACACAATCTGGTTTCAGGCCGCTGCATTCTTGTCAAACATCACTTATTAATATCATTGACAAATGGTTGCAAGAAATGAATGATGGTAATTTAAACCTAGCAATTTTATTAGATTTTAAAAAAAGCTTTTGATTTGGTAGATCATGACATTCTTTGCTTAAAGCTTGAAATTTATGGATTTAGTGAGGCTACTGTTTTTTCAAGTCATACCTGAATAACAGAAAACAGCAGGTAAACATTTGTAATGTTTACTCTGAACAACAACATGTAAAATTTGGTGTCCCCCAAGGTTCTATACTTGGTCCTCTATTGTTTGTGCTATTTATAAACGACCTTCCCTTATGCATTGAAAATTGTGAAACAGACCTATATGCTAAACATAGAAAATATACATGATGATGTCCAAGAAAATGTATACAGGGTTGAAGAGTGGTGCAAAATGAATAACATGTTCATTAATGCAAATAAAACAAAATGTTTGGTTACTGGAACAAAGCAGAAACTATCAATTCAGACTTATCAACCAAACTTGATAATGAATTCAAAAGTATTACAAAAATTATTAGGTGTTAAAATTGACAGCACACAACTGGAGAAATCAAATTGACCAAGTTTGTGCTAATATATCATCCAGAATATACCTTCTTTCTAAAATAAAGAAATTTTTAGATATAAATGCAAGGAAAACATATTACAATGGGTATATTCTGCCCCTGATTGACTACTGTTGTATTATTTGGGGTGAATGTAAAAATGAAGGGATAACAAGAATTTGAAAACTCCAAAAAAGGGCAGCAAGATTAATTCTAGATGCAGATCCTTTATCCCCCCTCAGCCCCCTTATTTAAAGAACTTGGGTGGATGACAGTTGACAATAGAATCAAATACCACAAATATTTACTTCTATATAATTGTATGCGTATGGAAGCACCAATGTACCTAGTTCAAAAGTTTAAACTGAAATCAGATAATAATCCCTACTCCTTGAGAGGTGTCACTCAAGGTAATCTGATAGTTCCCAAGCCAAAAGCTGAGCTATTTAAGAAATCTTTTGTTTATTCTGGATCAGTGTTATGGAATGGACTACCACACAAAATTCGTAAAGCTCAAAACACTTATACTTTTAAACAAAGTATCAAGAAGTACTTAACACAGTCCTGATAAGATTATGTTTTCTACAATGTATTTGTATATTCTTTTATTTTTATTTTTATTTGATTTTTTGACTACATGTGCATCTTGAACAGCCTTATATCTTATCATGTTAGTAATATTACATTGAACTAATTGACTGTAAATTAATTATGTGTAAATATCTGTTTTTGATTGTATTGTAATTTGTATGTGAGGGCATCAGGGAAGATTAGTTTATTGTAACTAACTGAGTTTACCCTCTTTAAATAAAGAATTTATTATTATTATTATTATTAATAAACTGAAATTGTTAATTTTATTTCAGTGATGTTGAAACTCACCTCAATATGAACACTGTCTAATGATGCATCATAAGCCTTGTTTGAAAAACCATTCTAAGAAATAAATAAATAAATATAATTTAGGGGAAAGGAGTGCATCAATTTCTCGAAATGACGATAAAACAGATTCAAATAAAATTTACGAGTTTTCATTCTTGCAAAATCTACCTCCGTAATTTCTGAACATTCTTGCAATCCAGCTATGCATTATATTCTAGCCATACACAGGCCACTTAAAAATTAACGAGCCTTGCAAAAGGTGAAGATGAATGTTCCATCAGAAAAAAAATCATCTGACCTGGCAATCATAAAATCATATCATAAATTCATTGGGTTTGACAATCGAAAAATTACCGGTAGGTCATTAATTTCATCTGATCGGGAAATCGAGATATGACTTCATTGATTACATCTGATCGAGTAATTGCGATATGACTTCATTAATTTCATTTGATTGGGTAATCGCAATATGACTTCGTTGATTTCATCTGATCCGATGGTAATCGCGAAATGACTTCATTAATTTCATCTGCATTATCAGGCTGTTGGCATGACTTAACTTTGTGCATGCATCTCTTTCGTTGTATAAAGTGAGTTCTGCTGTGCTGTTTGAATTTTCGGTAATCCATGTTAGCTTATTTATATGCATTACTATTTCTAATCTTAAGGTTGTCACATCAAAATAAGCCACTTGAATGACCATTGCGCATGCTTTGTAATTGCCTAGAAATAAGTTGGAATTAGTTCCCTGTTCTTTCCATTAATTGTGTCTAAAATTGTGCTGCAGGTGAACAGAATCGATTAAAATCCATTGATTCGTTTCAGCAAGTTTCCTTTTGTTTTCATGTCTTAATGATTAATTATTTATTAGTATGAAGTGTTTGATGTGTTCATTAATTAATGTGTACTATTCTTATTGTTTTGGAGAAGACGTTACTAAGTTGTAAAACTTGTGTCTGATCCATTTGTCATTTCTTACAATGAAATATGTTTAAATTTAAAAAAACTAGGTGAACAGAAGGATGCTTCACTATCCTTAACTTGAAATGAGTCGAGATCAACGTGTTACTGTACATAACCATTCAAGTGTTTCCGCAGTAAAGCCGAGAGACATGCTTAATAATCACGGATGCATTGGTGTATTGGTGCAGAAAGAAAAAATAAATGAATTTAAATTGCGCCATTTGAAAATTTTTTCTCATATATTTTATGTGAACTGTGCTATTTAAGGACAACTTGAGGTCTACTTTTTTGATATATATACGATTTCATTGGTTCAGTTTTTGACTAAGCGGAAAAAGACGAACCCTTATATCCTTTACACATACATGTAAATAGTGTTTAAAATCTAAAAAAAAAAGTTGTTATTGTAACTCGAAATCTTAACGTATTTGATGACTTCTTAGATTGCGTAGATTGACCACAAAGAACTTTTTGTTGGCGGTCTTTTATTTTACTGTGACGTCGGATGTCTTTCCCTTTTACATACTTTTACATTTGTATTTCAACACTGGTTCTATGTCATCCTTTTATTGTTTAATATGTCAAGTCAAATGAAATATCTGTTACATTAAAATTAATTACATATGTCATCGTATTTCAATTGTAAAATAGCTATTTCTTGTACTTCAAATAACTTATTTTCTTTCATTAATGCCATAAAAATGGAGTAGGCCCGGTAAGACCCCTTTTTGGCCCCAAAATATAGCATTTTTCCAATTTGTTTAAAATGTAAACTTTTAGCTATTTATTGGAAAGTAAAATACTTTTAGTTTCATAAATATGGGCTGTTTTTGACAACACAATGCACATTCATCAAGTACTAGCATCAGGTATTCATGTAAATTTACTGAAATCTTCACAATTTTAGCGTCTGTGCTAATTTTTAGACGGTTTTTGTCTAACATGGAAGTGGCCGCACTTGTTTTCAGTCTTAATATTTCAATACATGTTGTATTTGATGATTATACATAAACATATATAAAGGTTGCGACTGAACACGAATGCGGTCACTTACATTTTAGATTGATTGATTGATTGATTGTTGGTTGCTTAACGTCCCTTACATTTTAGACAAAAACCATCTGAAAAGTGACGTTTTATGGCATATTTGATAGATTTTTCATACTGAAGCTTGAATTTGAGCGTCTCTTATTACCAAATCAGTTCAAATCATGTACATAAACTAATTGCATCGATTGAAGTAGACACTTGTTTTTGAAAAATGTCAAAAATCTTTCATCAGATGTACTTCAAATTTTAAGCCAAAATTAGCCATTACCGGACCCCCTCCTTTGATTGATGAGAGTTTAATTTTGCCAGAATCATTTTGGACATGTGAAGAATGACCAATGTAAGATGAGAAAAGTTCTATGAAGAGTGCATGGTCAAACTTCAGCGAAAATGTTACCTGGTCGGAATTACCACCTAATCATGGAATATGATAACCCGTTCGAGAAATGATATATCATTTTACTGCGCAATAAAAATAAAATACATTTACATCGTACGACCATTTACCTGCGCATTGACGACTACATGTCGGTGCGTCACTAAAAGACGTTAAAATTTTTTTACTTTGGCCTATTATGCTGACAAGTGTATTAATAATAGTCCCAGATAAATTCCATTCACATAAAACAACGATATTTTGGAAAATACAATGTATTACAAATTGCAAATAATAAGATAATTAAAGGTCTAAAACCTTGGTTAGCAAACTTTCATGATAGCTTATTTTTGTTAATCTAATTACAGAAATGCATTTTCCCTAATTTTCAACTTCTCATTTTCTTGAAAAGTCTTGACCAAAAGGTTGCTACTATTGACCTTTAAATGTGACAAACGCACTTGTTAATATTTTCACTGAAATACAATAAGAATTAAGTACATATACAAAGCGGGTTAACACATGGCTGGTCTAACCGGTTAGCTTGATAAGCTGATTGTGGAAAATCTCTTGTTTATGTTTGTATTGTGTACTTTGTATTTAGCAACAATTATACTTTTATGAAAAAAAGTATTAATATTATTATTACTGCTATCATTTAAAAAAAAAACGAATATGATAGGTTAAAATGATATAAATCAGACATTTGAAAATCTTGATAAAATCTAATTAAAAATGTGAACGTTGTAGACCTAATTCACTTATATGTAGTCTAACGGTTTACGGCTTATTTGAAAAATTAATAATAGTATGCTTTAGTTTCAGACTTCAAAAAATTTATTGAAAAAATAAGAAAACGATGAATATATCTCTCTTTGTTCTGTATCTAGAAGGATTTGTTTTGTCTACTTTTTCACACAGAGAAAGTGAAAAGGATAACTATTGCTATTACATAAATTTAAGAAAAAACAAAAATAAAAACATAAATTGATATAGCATAAATTACTTTATACTTAATGTGGCCATTTGTGTTTTATTTACCTTTTCGGAATATGGTGGTGGCTTTTCCTCCATCGTGCTCATCGGAAAATATTTCTCCAAATATTGTTTTCAGTAAATGCTCACGGCTTTATATTATACAGGTATGAAGTGGATCACTCATGTCACTTGTGACAGGTATTAATTGTATTCACATGGAAAGCCTCGGAACAAACGGGTGTTATATTGTTTCTATTGTTACGAAATCTTGTTTATTATAAAATTGTAATGAAATATTTATGTTTACTGAGTACCGTTTACTGATTGATTTCAAATGCGCTTTGTGGAATGGGCCCCACTTTTTTCTCTATATATTTTTGCATATATATATATATATATATATATATGTTTTGCATGCACACGTATAAAAATTGCAGTTTTTATCCAACGCAATTAAAGGTTTGGACGTTGTTTTCAATTTAGACTTGTATATATATATATTATATATTTTTTCGATATTCACATGTTAACTTATAAATCTAAATCATGATTGCCAAAATGCCAAAAAAAAACAAATAAAATGTAAAAAAAGTTTTTATTCAGCCTTAAAATTAAGGAGACGACAGACGTCAACTCTAATTAGATATAAGAAGATGTGGTATGAGTGCCAATGAGACAACTCTCCATCCAAGTCACACTTTGTAAAAGTAAACCATTATAGGTCAAAGTACGGCCTTCAACACGGAGCCTTGGCTCACAACGAACAGCAAGCTACAAAGGGCCCCAAAAATGACTAGTGTAAAACCATTCAAACAGGAAAAACAACGGTTTAAAACTACAGTACTGCTATTCCGTATAAGGTTGCAAAAAAAAACCTTTTTTTTTACATATTTTTGGGGGCATTTTGGATATAATTTGATTTATCATATATGCGAACTCGAAAATCAGATACCCAGGCATGTAAGCCCACATATTGATTATAACGATATTTGAAATGACGAACAGTTGCAGAAGAAAGAAAAAAATGTTCCCATACACCGATTGTATATACTTATGGAACAGTAACTTAGTAAAAGTAATAGAAGTGCAAGTCATTGAAAGCTAAGATTGATTTACCTTACCAAAACCAAAAATAAAAAATATACATTAACTAACAACCATAAGTGCAGAAATTAAAAGCACAATTCTGATCACTAGTGTTATTTTTAAAGAGAGCTATTAAATGACACACATGTTGACAAGTCATTTAAACAATCTTAGATATGGGATATATCATCTGTAAGATTATTTGTTAGGACCCTTTTTTATATTTGAAAATAGCCATATTCTATTGAGTGTTCATTACTGTCTATTGTACAATTCATAGTTTGCATTAAAGGTTTACACGCAAATTTTTAATCTGCAATTGTATAATACCGAGAGTCAAAAGAAGACAAGACTCTTTCAAGATATTGCACAGATTGCGCAAATTTCCACATAGGCTTGTTAAATAGCAAATAAATATGAAGAGAACTAGAGACTCCATAGAAAAACCTAAATTGCCTACCCAGATTTGAATTGCCTACACCGACCGGATTCCTTAACTATCATAAGCTGCCATGCTTGTTTTATGACTGTCATTGATATTGGCAATAGTTCATATAGGATCTTTCATTAAGATGTTTCTTGGAAATATAGTTGCAATAGGGCCATCAAATCATATTTCTTTTTTTTTTATATTCAAATTTTGTTATCTGTATTTTGGGTGAAATATTCTATGTTTAGTAGAGTTTATAGATATTAACGGCAACGACAGCCATGTTGCTCAATTGACAGGTATATCTAACAAAACACCCCAAAGATGATTGATGCCAATTTGTCTCAAAGGAGTCGATTATATCAAGGATTTGTATAGTTAAAACTATACAGATCCTTGATTATATACAAAGATCAGTTAGTGCACATGCAGATCTAAGTCGCTTTCCTCTTGCAATAGTATAAGAAACTTTTGTTTTTTTCCTACCCTGTACACACGTATGTCGCATTCCAAACATAAGAGAGCTTGAAAGAATTTGTCAACCTTTGTTTCATAAAAAAAATGGCCAACGTAGATACAAATATCTTATTTTAGGGAAACTGACATAGGCCATACGGTTGTCTATAATTGCTTACATCCACTTTATTTTAACTTTTGTGGATAGTTGTCTCATTGGCAATCATAGTGAATATGTCTGTCTGACAAAATATCAGGCATGGGGCGAATTACATTGCATGCTACTTGGACAAAACAAGCATATTATATTACAATTACATGTATTTTGGAAAGTAATCTTTTACATTACAATTACTTTACCAAAGTAGTGCATTATTACACATTACATTTTATAAATTTAATTATTAAAAGAAACATAAATACAACATTTTATACTGAAATCTTTGTGACCATTAAATAGACATTTTAAATCCTTTCATTGCTCTATTAGATCAAATGTCAACAGTCAAACAAATATGGTCAGCCTCCTGAACGTCATACAAGTTTTTACGTACATCCTTGGCCTTAGTCTGTATCAATTTAGATGAGAGATGTTTCCGGCTTGAAATTTGAAATTTTGGGTTTAATGGGATTTTCTATAAAGTTCTCAGTACAGTTTTGACTTTCACTGTTGAAAATGGGAGTAGATCACTTCTAGTATTATACTCGAAAAGTGAATCTGTAGCTTTGTTTTGCTTTGGGTCATTTAATTGATATTTTTGAATGCCAGATGGTTTTACAAAAAAATGGTTGGTTGTTCTGCTGAGTCAGGCTTTTTATATTTTGAAGTATACATCTCTGTGTTTTCTAAAAAAAGGAATAACAGAAATGTTGTCATTTGTCAAAAGAAAGGAATTGATTGCTATACAAACTAATTAGTGGTTTTGGACAGGTGTCAATTATCAATCATTCAACTTATTTCTTTCATCTTTAAATATCTACAGATGTATAGGGTTTTAAATGACTATAATGGTATAAAAAATGACCACAAATTAAAAACAATATTATTTTTGTATGTTTTTAAAATAGATCTGTCTTAATTATTAGTATAAATGTTTTAGTATTAAGGTTAAATGAAGAAAATCATTAGTTTTACAACAGTTCAAATTTACACTTTTTGTTAATCATTTAACTATAGACATTGATTTGTTCTTAATTTTCCTATTTTCTTAAAGGAAAGAATAAAACAGTAGGTACTTATTATCCATGAAATTTGTAGCAATATATAGCACTATCAGACAAGAAGTAATGCTATGTAATGCCAAGGAATGCATTGATTACATGTATTTTTGCATATGTAATGCATTGCATTACAATTATATGTAATGCCAAAATTTGGACATTACACATTACATACATTACTTTGGAAAATGCATTACAATTACAAATTAGCATTACCAAACGCCGTAATCATACCACATCTCCTTATTTTTATATTATCAGATATAAAAAAAGAAGATGTGGTATGATTGTCAATGAGACAACTCTCCATAAGAGACCAAATGACACAGAAATTAACAACTATAGGTCACCGTACGGCCTTCAACAATGAGCAAAGTCCATACCGCATAGTCAGCTATAAAAGGCCCTGAAATGACAAATGTAAAACAATTCAAACGAGAAAACTAACGGCCTAATTTATTTACAAAATAATGAACGAAAAACAAATATGTTACACAGCAACAAACGACAACCACTGAATTACAGGCTCCTGACTTGGGACAGACACATACAGAATATGGCGGGGTTAAACTCATTTGAAGACAAGAACAAGCTATAAAAACCAGTTGAAAAAGGCTTAACTCATCAGATGGATACAAATAGAAATACATCTAACAGAAACACAGAGTGGACGTGGACGGGTTCTTATACATCCACACAACAAAAAGACACCAAGTACAGATCTGAGAGTACTCGCAGTTACTGACAGCTAGTTTTAAGCCAATAAGAACTTATGAAAAAAATCATGCATCTAAGACTAAAATATCAATCGGTACACATCCAACCTCCAATAGATTTAGTGTTAAGACGTCATAAACAGTCTGAGAAAAACATGACCTTGTGCAATGCCAAGATACAGTTATCGACAGATTGTAGAGCCACGAATGTGCATATGTATATACAAATAATAACTAGTCTGATCTTAATTTACTGATAACAAAATCATTATTAATACCAATAAAAACAATATTCAAAGATCTAATTACAGTGTTGAATTGGTAACCTTTTAGAATAAGTTTATTTAAAGGACCGATTAGTTTACCAGGATCGTTTTCAAATTTCCGGGCTCGGTAAACAACATCTCCTAAAAATGAGGATGTGCTATCCCGTTTGAAATAATTTTTCTACAAGAACAAGATGCTTGATTGACAAAAACAGATTTGTTACGTTCGGAGGATGTGTTTTTCAATACTCAATCGGCATTTCCTTAGGAACTAACTGTGCTCGCCGACTTGTTCCATTCTAAATATGAGGCAGGCTTCACACATATGAAGCTAGCATTAACTTTCTATATAGATGATGTCCTCTCGCTAAATAATTCAAAGTTTGGTGACTATGTTGAACATTGCCTATCGAACTTGAAATAAAGAGTACCACAGATAGAGTTAAGACTGTCTCATATCTTGACTTACATCTAGAAATTGACATTGAATGTCGGTTAGTTTAGATTCGTTTAAACATATTCTATTTGCTCAAAGCAAAAAGGATCAGACACAAGTAAAACATACTTATAAAGTCTTCTCCACAATACATGTATATAACAATACAAACTGAATATGAGCATGCATTATATAATGTAAACAACATAAATATTACTAAACTATACTGAAAAAAGGAGAGAGGACGAAGAAGGAACGACAGATATTGGGATGATGATGATAATGATGATGATGTGCTGTTTGCCTTTGTTGATATTATACTACGAGGAATCTTTTTGATCTCTCTATAAAATTGGTAAGACTTGTTTAACAATTTGCACTATTTGATTATAGGAAAGAGTTTCTTTTCCAAAACCCAATAGTTTTAAGTCCAAATTGCAGCCTTGTGGAGGCCAGCTGAGACTTTTTAACAGAGTAGTCCTTTCATTTGAATAGAAAGGACAATCAAAGAAAACATGGCGCCAATCCACATTTACATGGTGGATCAGATATATTGTTAGCTCTAAACAAGTCACAATTCAAGAAAGATGCGGAACATCTAAATGGGT